TCTTCAGAAGTGTAAAGTGGGGCAAGATTGGTGATCATATATCTATCCGACCAACGCTTCCTCAAACTTTAGCTAGTTTTCGAATCCTCCCCCCCTGTACTTGCAAACATCGCACAGGACAAAGACGAACCTACTTTCGTTTTACCATTTTTACCATCCGTGCGCAAAGTGGTGTGCAGCCGTGTTCCGTTTGGTCAATAGTGCCAATAAGCTACCAGAGTGGATTTATATAATTGCACAGCTATATAGCTCATAAAGCGAGAGAAACGGCATGAGATCATTCGTGATTGGTATGCGCTCATTTCTGTTGTTCATTAGTGGGTTTCTATGAGAGATGCACAATGCTTCAAGGTTTTTCGATGTCAGTCTCGCAAGCCAAAATTGTGCACTTAATTTTGTTGTCATCGCTACCATGTTTTCATGTTTGTGTCTCCCAATACTGTTTGCTTGCAGAATGCAGAGAATTCTACTACTCTATCAGAGAATGAGATATTCATATTAAAAGTGAAATCTTGTTATAAAATATGGTATTGTGAAGTAAATAAAATATTATAGAACAATGCAGAGGTGTTCAGTTTATTTAATGCAAAACTTTTAGAAGCTGCGATAGCTACACTCTGATGACATCGTTGTGTTACAGTAACCTTCGTTCAAAGTTGAACATAAATCATTCTTCCGAAGACTGAATAATTGATTGCTATAAACGATCATAATGCTCCCTACGAACAATAACAGCAAAGGCTTCTGAAATCTTCTGTTACTCTACAACCAATTGCACACTTTGAATAAAATTATCTAATGTTAATAATATAGGAAGATTTTTCTACAAGAATTCAGCATGGCTGATTTCTGTATATAACAGACGCAGAATGTGTATAGGAGCATACAAATATTTCATACTTTTACAGAATGGAGTGCACAGTGCATCTATTATATATTATTATTATATATTATACATTAACTTGGCCTCTCGCGCCTGACAGAAGAAGAATATTTTCTGAGAGCAAAGAATACAGTGTTTGACTGCTTTTCAGCTTTATAGCAAT